TTTCCCTAAGTGAGAAAGAGAGAGAAAGATAACACCCTCCATAGTATCTTTAGGCCCAGATCCACCTGCAGCCTTCAGCAAGTCCCAGTGATGGTCAAGTGCATGGCTAGCTTCCTCAGGGAGGTCTTTAGACTTGAACCACAACCTTCTCATTTGTGATGCCTCATAGTGTTTTCTTTTACCACTGCATCACCATCTGACCCCAGAAAATTTTTTAATAAAGTACAATTTTTATTTTTATGCTGTTACATTCGGTATATTTTCTGCAAGTCAACTTTTTTTGTTTTTGATATCAAAGGCAAGGTTAATATACAAACAAATAAATATATGAATTATAGACTCTTATTTCTTGACTAAAACTGATTTCATTATTTAATATATTCTAAATTAAACCTACTTAAGCCCTATGCCTGTCCCTTTCATATAAAAAATTGTTAGAACCAGATGGTTGGCACACATGGAAACCACCGCTTCTTCCTGACCAGCTACCAGATGTGAAATTCTTTGTTCAATAGATGTTATGAAACATACCGAATCCATCTTTATAACTTAGAATATTAAAACCATTTTCAGTAAGAAATGCTGTTTTTCTATAGCTTGCCTATAAGAATATTTGATAGACATGATATATTACCATCTTCTTGACCAAGAAATCTGGTCTGCAGATAGGAAAAGCAGAGATGGCTGCAAACAATTCTGTAATCAAGATTTAATGTTGGAGATACCAAGTTAACTGAAGTGAAGAGATTAAATTGTGAAAGGACTTCAAATACAAATTTCTAAGCCATTTTTTATTTTTAGGTAATCGTTTTTCATGGGAGTCCCATTTAGCTTTCAGGGCAATTTAACCTACATGATGTATGACCCTCCAGACTGAGAGTTAGAATGGCCTTTATTGCTGATATTTTTATGATTCTCTGTAACTGGAAGGGGAGACCGAATTCTGAGAAAGCTACTATCCCTAACATGCAAACAATGTAGGATTCATTCCCAGAGGCATTAAATGCTTCCATTTCTTTGAATGTGAACCAGTCTCGATTTTATATGTATACAATACAATGTTTCTCAAACTTGAGTTTCTGATTATGTTAGAAATAACCTGCTTTTATACTAGACATGAAAAAAAATTTAAAAAAAACCTTACTACAGTGGTCAGAAAATATACTTATTTAGTTTTAGTTTTGCTTTTTATTTTCTTTGAAAATACTTTGATTAAACTGCTTACTATGTGCCAGAAGCTAGGCTAAATGATTTTCATACCTTCTCATTTGTGATTCACTCTCATAGCAGATGTAGAAGACAGACAAGAAGGGATCATATTCAATGGGGATGGTTATGTGATATTATTTTTCAGGCATGTACAGTGTCTTAGAACTGTTTTTCCTATGTATCCATGAAACAGCTCTCTTTCATCAATACTAACTGCTCCTAAAATTTTACTTGCTTCCTCCTTATTCAAATTGTTATAGGATTGACTTAGAAGATGTAAATATTTTTTAGAAACATCTTTATTTTTACACTCCATTACCTTACGTATTTGTGCCCTTTGGACAAATTATGTTCTAACATTTCACTGTGTTCTGAGCATTCTACACATTATGGAATAATTCAGAATAAAGAAATAGGTTTTTGCCCTTAAGAAACATAATATGGGGACCAGCAGATGGCATAGTGATGACGTCACTGGACTCCCAAGTAGTCGACTGCAGTTCGAGTCCCCGACCTGGTGGTTTAAACTCAAGCTGGGTGTATGTGCATGCATACCCAAGATCCTAAGAAGAGCATGAAGGAGAAGGCATTGCGCCGTGGTCATCCCCTCTGGGGAGTGATTTCTCACTTTCTGTCTCTCTGTCTCTCTCTGTCTTTCTAGTGAGTGCACACACCCTATAGAAAAATCTCTCTAAAAGGGGGGAACATAATATGATTAAAGATAAAACTTGCATAGAAAAAATAATTCGAAGAGAAATATAAATACTAGCCTGTGTACTACAGATATGAGTGCTATCGGGTTACAAGAAGAAGCAAACGATCTTTATATATAACAAAGTGAGAGTTCAGCTAAGTATTGATGTAAATAAACAAACAATGGATTGGTGGACAGGGAAAAATAATTCACTAAAAGAAGAAAAGTAAAAGTAAGACCAGAATAAGACCTGGTAGTGGGTAATAGGGAAGCAATGCAAGGGACTGATAGTGGAAGGAATTATGAAGAAGAAGGTTTGAGTCTAGTAATATATAAGTTGGCCCTTCCACCAGCCCTTAAAAGCAAAAAAATCTTTTTGGGTTGCTAACAACACTGATATTTTAAATGATCATTAAATATTTATAAGAATGAACAACACATGCATTTCTATGTTTGTAGCTTTTATTCAAACATGGAACCAAAATAACTTTGACGATAAAATATAAAGAAATCTGTGCATCATTCAAATACTTGTTTAATGGAATTCTTTTTCTACCCTGAAATAGGTACCTTCATGAGCATAACATGGAATACAGATTGCAAAGTGTGTGTGTGTGTGTGTGTGTGTGTATGAGTGTGTGTGTGTGTGGTGTGTGTGTAAAACTCTGTTCCTATAGCACTGTCTGCCATGTGATGACTCAATCTTCCCATGGCTGACCAGGGTTTGAGTCCCAGGCCTGATGGCTTACTTTCTCATTTTCCCTCTCTTTCTCTTTCTCTCTCTCTATCCTTCTCTCGTCAAATTAAAACTAGATAAAGTTGAATAAATTAATTCTTAAAAAAAATATGTACCATCATCAAAGAAAACTGGTTGAATCATGTAAATATAGAAATGTAATCGAAGAATGGAAATAGAAAGTGGCATGAGGGAGGAATGGAGGACTGTGCCTCAGAGGGAATGAAGATCTTCTGAAGAAACTGAGCAGGAGTAAATAACAGAGCCACAGGAGTGTAATAGTGTGTGCAATGCAAAATGAAAAATAGAATGTGTAAAGAGGCAAGTCCACACATATCAAATGTAACCAGGAATTTTAAAACACCAGAGGCTGTACTTTAGCATCAGTATCACCAGAGGCATGGTATAATCACAGGTTACCACAGATAGTCAATTTATGGAGAAAAATAGTGACAGAAGAAAAATGTTGCACAGAGGACTGACCTGGGGGTGTAGCAACCAGGGACTTACCACTGGGACAAAAGCTTGCTTGCCATCAGTGACCTTTATTGTCAAAGTGGTTATAGTTTTGCATCTGCCCTCCTTTCATAATGAGAGAAATGAATATTGTTTTCATTTCTGTATTCTCAAAGGTGGAAGTCAGTGAATATATTGTGAACTGCTTTTATGTTATTATCAGAAGGTCCTAGGTCGCCTAAAACACATATAATTTTTTTTTTAAGGTTTTGGCCATAGGGCATATGTGCTCACCAGAGAGACAGGGGGAGACAATGAGAGGGAAAGTGAGAAATCATTACCCAGGGAGATGACCATGCCATAACCCCTTCTCCTCCATTCCCCTCCTGGGATTTTGGGCAGGCACATAAATACACACACACCTGGCATGATTTTTAAGCTGCTGAGTCTGTGACTCAAAGCATGATTGGCCATGTGAGAGTCCAGTGCTTTAACCACCTCACCACATGCTGGTGTCTCTAAGTTTCTTTTCACATAGACGAATGTATAAAGAAAAAGTAAAGGTAACTATTGATAGCACTGTACAAACTCTTCTTGCTTATGCTATGTAATCTTCATAGCAGTCTTTCAAGTTATTAGGTTATATCCCTTTATATGAAGAAAATAAAGACACAAAAATATATGAATGCCTTAACTTATACAATTAGTAACTGATGGTGCCAATATTTGAATCTAGCCCTACCTAATGTTGTCACAATTACTCTTTAGTACAACTATTCGTGGTAAAATTTGAGTGACTTACTGAAAGACTTCTCGTGCTCTCTTTACACTATATTATAATCATGTATGTATAGAAATAACATGCATAATTTCTTACATTAAAAACAAAAAAGGAGGGGACCAGCAGATGGCATAATGGTTATATTGCTGAATTCCCACATGGTCATCCACCGTTCAATTTCCAGACCCGGTGGCTTGAAATTCATGCTAGGCATGTGTGCATGTGTTTCAAAATCCCAAGAGGAGAGTAGAGGAGAGGGGATTGTGGCATGGCCATCTCCCCTAGTGGGTGATTTCTCACTTTCTGTCTCTCTCACATGCCCTATGGCAAAAATCTCTTTCTCAAACAAAAGGTGATATTTCAGCACTGAAGGTATATTAAAAGTATTACTACGTTGTTGGACATTTTAAAGATGAATCTGGATTTTACTTGTTTGGTTTCACATATTAGCCATACCCATAGTTTTGTGTATTTGGCTAATTTTCGGTGGCAATTATAATCTCTGTTAATATACAGCCTTGTGGAAATTTATTAGAAACTTACCAAATTCATTTTTATTATTTTTATTTTGCAAGGAGAGACAGTAAAATATCCCAATTCTCTAAACAGTGGTCCTTATGGTAGCATTAGACACTATGATCTGGAAAGTATGAAAATACCTAAAACAACATGGGAAATAATAGTATTTGCTCTTTCTATTGAAAAAGATATGTTACATAGTAAACTTGACAGATTTTCATGTCAGCCCAACTTTGAAAGTTATACTGAAATGGATTTTTTTCTAATGGTTAAATGCATTCATAAAGGAGAAAGCTCTCTCACTTTGCTTCTTACAATATTGATATGAAATGACCTTAGTTTATTGATACATAGTGGTCTTCAATGTAAATATATTCAGAACACACACACACACACACACTCGTGCTCACATACCCCCGATTAATAACTAGACATCTATTATATCTATCCTATCTATAGAAAGAGATGACTTCATCTCTTTCAGGATTTCATTATGTGATTATGAAAATGAAAAATCTCAACATAAGCTAGTGAAAACCACCCGCGATGGTGGTTTTTCTCCTGCATGATACGCCTGCATCACTTAATTTTTTTGTTCTTGCAGGTGAAGACAAATGACAGAGTGGTTAAAATGGACCTTGGTTTACTCTTCCTAAGGGTACGCAAATCAGATGCTGGGACCTATTTTTGCCAGACAGTAGAACATAGTTTTGTCCATACTGTTCGTAAAATTACCTTGGAGGTAGTGGAAGAAGAGAAAGTGGAGGAAATGTTTAATAAAGACTATGAGGAGGACGGGCCTCACCGGATGCCTTGTCCAGCCCAGAGCAGCATCCCACAAGGAGCAAAACCATGGTACAAGGAATTCTTGCAGCTTATTGGTTACAGCAACTTCCAGAGAGTGGAGGAATACTGTGAAAAAGTATGGTGCACAGATAAGAAGAGGAAAAAGCTTAAAATGTCACCCTCCAAGTGGAAGTATGCCAACCCACAAGAAAAGAAGCTCCGCTCCAAACCTGAGCACTATCGTCTACCCAGGCACGTGTTAGACTCCTGATGGGAAGAAACCATCAACTGGCTTTTCAAAGATTTATATTTGGAATCTAAAAGAGAGAGAGAAACCATCCAACTTCTTTGCATTACTTAAAAGAGATTTCTGTAATACAGAAAGGACTATAAATGTGTTAGGATAAGTTATTCTACATACTCATTTGACTGGATGAAACTCACATAAATTTAACTAATTTTTTAAACAAGTGCATTGCTTAATGGTTTCACATTATATTTATCCAAAAAAATGACCATACCTATAGTTTTGAGTACATGGCTGCTTTTTTGTGGCAATTATTATTTTACTTTTAGAAGATTTAAGATTATTAGAATATTATAGAAAATTATAGAATTTCATAATCACAGGAAATATGAAAAGATAATTGTTTTAATCTTTGTGAATTTTTCCTTTTCACCACAATGTAAAATGCACAGACTATAAGACACTTTCATACTCTCATGTGAACTTTGTGTTAGTAATTATTTTATTAGTGTTGTCTAAACCCTGAGTTTTAAGTAACAGGTAAGTCCTGGTTACTGTTAACCATGAAAGAAAAAAAAATGTATATGGTCACTCTGAGACTGGTAGTCTTTATAAAACACTCACTAAACCACATTCACAATACTTATGTCTATTAAAAGAAGGAATTCTTTACATTTTACTCCAATCTGGAAAGAATGAAGCTAAGGTAACTTCTCAAAAAAGATATTAATGTAGAGTTAGCCCCAGAATTCTAAACTGAAAGATTGTTGCTGCCCTCTTGTGGGAGAAAAAGTAGATTCTCTTACATTTCTTTTTCTTCTACAACTATCCTAGAAAGATTTGAAAACAGTTTATCAGTAAATATATCTAGTTCATTTACTGAAAAAAAAAAACTAACTGAAGTAAAAATACGTCATGTCATGCTTTAATATGGAGGCAACATGTTTATAGATAATTTATTTCCTAACAAGTCAAAAATGAAGATATTTGCAGCATGGAAATTCTATTAAGACTTAATTTTTTTTAAGTTTTCTAAAGACTGTTAACTGAACTCTGGCAGATATTATACAACTATAATGTTTTACTTGTGAACATTTTGCTCTCAGATATTAAATTTTCCTCTCTATTTTATACTGCAGTAGGAAAATTATTTCATGAGTTCACTTAACTACTGAGGTGTTCAGAGCATTCTTACCTTTTTCTTATAAATATTACCAAATGTCTGTGTTTTTGAGTATGTTTATATCTTGACGTCTATCCTTCTCTCATTTTAAATATGTAGCAATTATCTTGCTAAAATATGTATTTTTACAAGATGCTTTCATTTAAATAAATGTTAGAAGCAAACGGATAGCAGTGGAAATACGTACAAATATTTATTTAGATATTAATTTAAATATTTATTTAAGTTTCCAAGTTAGTTTATAAGCTATCTAATTAAGACGTTAAATACTGATACCTTATAATGACTTGCAATTTCATTCTAAAATTTAAAAATACATAAATATTTGAGAAAGTTTTAAAAGGCCATTTAGGTAAGTTCCCAAGTTCTAAAAGACCTAACAAATACAAATAGATTGAAAATTGACATACTTTGAAAATTCCACTTGCTATTATGTAAGAATCCACTGGAGGTCGTTGCTACCCACTCATAGTAACTGAAAACTCATGTATGAAAAGCTGTTTTTTGTAAACTGGAATTCAGTAAAAGCTACCCAGTTTAGAAAAATAGAACCACACAGATCATAGGGACCATAGTAAAATTTATGTTAAAGTACTCAAAGTGAATGGCTACATCAAAAAAGTGTAATTTTTGAAAAGTTATTTTATGAATATGCAAAGAAAATGCAGAATTTTCTCCTATATTTAATTTTTTTAAAAAAACTAAGAAAGGTGTGGTCCAAGTAGTTATCATTTTAGTCTCAGTAGACACATAGGCAGTTAATAAAGATGAGAATGATGTTACTTGTGAACTAAGTATTTGGTAACTGAAGCAATAAGACTGAGGGAAACAAATTTCTATAGCAAGTGTCTTAAGAATTAATTGTACTAGGACCAGCAGTTAGCTTAATGGCTATGTTGCTGGACTCCCATATAGCCAACTGTGGTTCGAGTCCCAGACCTGGTGGCTTAAACTCACACCGGGTGCGTGTTCATATGTGCCCAAGATCCCAAGAGGAGAAGGGATTGCAGTGTGGCCATCCCCTCTAGGGGATGATTTTTTTGCTTTCTATCTCTCTGTCTCTCTCTGTCTTTCTGGCAAGCACACGCACCCTATAGCAAAAACCTCTCAAAAAAAAAAAAAAGAATTAATTGTACTAAAATAAGATGACTATTAACCAGAATACAAAACATTTTACATAACATGCTATAAATGACTTGAGAAAAATAAATGTAACTGAAAAAGCTAATGAAAATTTGGCTCTGAAATAAGCTTGCTAAGGAAATTCTGAGAGTTGAGGTAGAAGGATATATATATATATATATATATAAAATCTTGCTACATTCCTGTGTATGGTAGTTGTTTATGAGAAATGGGAAAGAGAGACAGAATGAGAGAAGTTTCCAAGGATGTATCCATGCCCCACAGCTTTTATTTTCTCAGCCTTTCTTTCTCACTCCCATTTTCTTCCCTACATATACAGGTGGGCACACTCAGACACCACATACTTTCAACTAAACCTCTTACATTCTCAAAATGCAAACCAACAAACCTATCTTGCTTTATTCTTCTACAGAATCTGACACATACCACAAAAATGATGGGATGAAAATTCATATTCTGAATCACATTGAGAAATTCCCAGTCTTGGAAAATTACAAATGAATGGATCAGAGTTATTCCTCTTCCCTGCCCTTAGGAAGAGCACGCATGTAGGCACCCGGAAGACTCGGAGGAATTAAGAGTTCACCCTTGACCCCGTCATACTTTTCCTAGACAGAAATTCGATGGAGAGAAATCCTACCTTCTGGAAATACACAGCTGAGAAAAACAATCCTAATCACCAATCTTATTTCAAAGGGGCACCCCCATAGAGGGTCAGTCTCCTGCTTCTTTCAGTCTCTTCTTTGTTAAGGGAGAGGACTTGAAATAGAATGAGCCTTGACATACAGCAATGTTTGTCTCCTCCTTCAAGCACAGAGTCACCCACAAAGCTAGAGATCCAGATTTGCTCTTGAGGAGAATTACAACTTAATAGCATTTTCATGACTTGTAAGGTCTCTTCCAGGTCTAACATTCTACATTGCTGTTTTTTTTCTTTCGTGTTAATTACTGAATATTTCAGTGCAAAGCTATGAACTTGGAGAAACAGGGATTAAAAATAGAAATAAACACTAATAAGGGTTCTAGAAAAAAGGGAACAGAAAACATTTGCCTATGTAATAAGTGGCAATTCCATATGAATATATGAGAGCTTTCTTTTCCTAAATTAGTTGGATATGATGTTTATTTCCTGAGTGTTTAATACTTGCTGTAGGTGTAGGCTTTTGTAAATCTTCATAGTGATGGTAAACATTTGTAAAATTTGTAAAGTACGATAAATTGTTCTGAGTGTTGGTGTTAAGCATGAAATAAACACAGCCGTTGTTGTCCTTAAAAATGAATTGCCTTGTGACATCTTTAGCCTAACAAATATATTCAGAAAAGTATTTGGTAGCGTATAGACATTTGAGATCCCAGGAGAACTTGCCACACTTTATTATGACAACAAGGAGTCCATGTCCTTTTTCTTACTGCAAAGTATCAAATTTGAATTAAGTATTCATTTTTTCAGGCCAACAACTGTTGCGTTTGACTCAGATATAAATAATAAAATTTCCATGAATAGTCTCCTGATTGTAGTGTTATTTAAGCTGGTGTGTTGATTTTATTTTTTCTTAGGAGGCTTACCTTAGACTGGGGATTTCATTATCAATTGAATGTATACTGCTTCTGTTTAAATGGCTTAGTTATAAGCTAGAGCTTTACTGGGCATTCTCTGTATGATATCCTTTCATTTGCTTGGCTGGGTCCATAATAGCATGGGGTGTATAATTTTTCTTCTCTGATATTTAAGCCATGAAACTTCTTATCATATGGTGGCAAACTGTAGAGACCATTGGCCATGTGTCTCTTCAACTACGACGTGAATCTGCCACTATGCACTACATAAATTTGTCTGTACCATTATATATAGTTTCTACTTGGTTCAACTTAGATGAAAAAGAAATAAATATTTGCTAAACCTCTATGTGTTGTCTGCGGAGTAGTTTCTAAGTGTTTACTAATTAAACTCAAATTTCATACATTAAGCCCAAGTGTAAACATACGCCAGACGAACACAATTTTAAAACATGAAAGAATTCAATTTTCACTCTGAGAATTCATATTTCAGCTTTCCTAAGGAAGAAAAATATCTGTTAATCTCATTACCTTGCAGCACTTGGGTTTGTTTATGCTATACCATGTTGCTAGATCCAGAAATTCCTTTCAAAGTTTCATTATCCCGATAAAAGTTATGAAAAGTGAATGCTTTTAAAATGGTCTAGTAGAATGTTTATGATTTTTAAAAGCCTCTGGTTCTTTTAAAGTATCTGAGTTGCTGTTTTCTATACTATGTTTATAAGATCTTGGGAAAGGCATTTGAAAGATGTTTAGTATTAAGTGAACTACTCTGTGGCAGTTTTGTTTTGAAGTAAATTTTATTGTTATCAGTAAAAAAAAAAAAAAATAGTTAAAATGTTTTAAGGGGGGGCCAGAAGATGGTGTAGTGGTTCCGTCGCTGGACTCCTACATGGCCAAGGGCTGTTCGAGCCTCAGAGCTGGTGGCTTGAAAGTTGCACCAGGTACCTGTGTGTGCATGCCAAAAATCTCAGGAAGAGAATGGAGGAGAAGGGATTGTGGCGTGGCCGTCTTCCTGGGGGGTGATTTTTCACTTTCCCTCTCACTGCCTCTCTCTCTCTCCTCTCTCCAGTGTGTGCATGTCATTAGGCAAAATTCTCTTTTTAAAAAAAAAATGTTTTAAGGGAAGAATTTGGCAACAGCTCTGAGATACCGTCTCTGACAGCTTTATGATGTGACAATGACATTAATGGCAACTGTAAATCCATATTTCACACTTGAACTCATAATATATACAATACTATTTTTAGTGTAATATTTGATAAACTCATTTTA